TAGTGCTGTCAAACGATTAATCGCATCCAAAATAAGTTTTTGTTTACATAATGTGTGTGTGTACTGTGTATATTTGTTATGTATATATAAATACAAACACATGCATGTATATATTTAAGAAAATATGCTATGTTTATATATATAATATAAAATATAATAATATAAATATATATACACATGTAAATATTTTCAAAATATATACTGTATGTGTGTGCATTTATATATACATAATAAATAAACACAGTACACATACATATAGTATGTAAACAAACATTTTTATTTTGGATGCGATTAATCGTTTGACAGCACTAGTATATACATGACTGCTTTTGTGCTCCAGCTCCAGGGTCACATTTAGTCTCTAGTTTAAAACTACACTAAAACTAACTCAAATGATGCTGCCCTTTTTTCCCCTTTTTTAATGAGAGCCAGGTTTAGTAATTCAAAATTAAAACTAAATAAGATGTTTAAGATTAATTCTTCCCAAAAAACTTAAAACAAGATTTGGATTTATTTGATTAAAAACCTATCAACCGAAAGAATCAAGTTTCTCACAGGAGTTTATTACAGTCTAGACAAGATGGACACTTGGGATAATTCTCTATGCGGTCAAAACGTTGGGCGCGCGTGTGGTTTGCGGTGTTGTGTGACACGAGGAATTACTGCACGATTACTGTAAATACCTTCAGTTTCCTCCGAGAGTTGAACTTCCTCAGCTGCTCCACCGTCTCGGGCAGGTGGATCTTGTACGAGTAGCGATCTCTCTCCTGCACGACACGCACAAACATGAGACAAACTCAACCCGATACCATGCTTGAAGGTCACAAACAGGAAGTGACTTCTACAGGAGGAGAAATGACAATCAGGTTAATTTTGAAGACAATAGCAGCAGCGTGTGACCTTGAGCCAGGGATGGTTGAGCGCCTCATAGACGGTGATTCTCTCGGCCGGGTCCAGCATTAGCATGCGTCGCACCAGGTCTTTAGCGCTCTCAGAGATCTGACTCCACTGCCGCGGGTTCATCTGACAAACAAACACACCGCTGAACCACACAAACGACTGGACCGGCTTCATCCAGCTGCAGCTATGAGTGCTCGTTTGTAATGACACAGAGCTCGGTTCTGACCACTGTATTTCCCGTACAAATATCTAAACACTATTAAAGCAAGATTCATTTGACAGAAGAGTAGTCTTTAGCATAAAATATCTGACAGTGGGGTCAGAGAATAAACTTATTTAAAATAATTTATAATATTTTTATTATTTAAAAAAGTTTATTTTTCTGATCCCATTGGCAGATATTTTTCATTGTTTTAATTAAACTCATAATCTCTCAGAAAACAAGACTTCTCATCTTCTGTCATTTTGCATTAAGTAAATCTATCATGATTTAAGAATTTAGAAAACACTAGAAAAAAAAAAAATTCTTACTTGACTATTGACTATTATTATTTTAAATCCTTTTATATGTAAAGCACTTCGAATTACAATTGTGTATGTAATGTGCTATATAAATAAACTTTGCCTTGCTTAGCATTTTTGTCTTGTTTTCTAGTACATTCGGTTACACTTTATTTTAAGGTGTCCTTGTTACAGTGTAATTATACATGTGAGTACTGAGTAATATTAATTAACTACATGTACTTACTATATGGTTAGGGTTAGGATTTGGGGTTACTTGCATATAATTTATTGTTATTATAATAGTAAGTACATGTAACAATAAAGTGACTTTAAAATAAAGTGTTACCAAACATTCTTGAATCAAAATGCATTTACTGGAGAAGCAAAATGATTAAGATATTAGGGGATAGTTGCGTAACCATAGTCACCACGGTAAGACGGTGTCTTAGGAATCAGTTTGACTAACTAGCAGTTAACCAAGTGGTTACTTTTCAGAGTCAAATTAGATCAATCTACATTTTCAATGTAACTGACTTTAAAATATTACGACCAGTCTTGCAGAAAAACGTAGGACTAGTCTAAGCAGTTTATGCAACCAGCATAAATATCTGAAAAAATATCTGTCGGTGGGTTAAGAAAAATAATCTTAATTCAAAGAGAAAACAAGATTATTTTTCATGCCTCATTGGCAGATCCTAATTAAAAACTCACTTCATTTTGATAGTTTTCAGAAAGCAAGAATGAATCTCTTAATATCTCTGTTATTTTGCTTCTCAAGTAGATGTATCTTATGTATAGCACTGTCTATTCTCAATCCTAGATGTTCTCGGGTTATCACACAAAGCACTCTAACCCTTCTCCATTAATATATGCAATGCTGTGTTTGGTCAAAAGTTATCTTAGAATTATTGTTATGAATCATGTGCAGCACACATCTATGATTTGAAACAGATTTCTCATTCTGCTCCTAAAACACAAGAGGAAGGTTCTGTCATTAAAATCGCTCCACCTGACGTGTCTTCAGTGCTCTCGACGTCTGAACGAGTGACGTGCTTCTGTCAATCACGCAGTACCTTGTACTTTCCTTTCACGATGGCTTCAAACAGACGCTCCTTGGTGCCGTAAAAAGGCAAACAGCCGCTCAACAGGATGAAGAGAATGACCCCGCAACCCCAAACATCCACCGGCTTCCCGTACGGCTCTCGCTTGACCACTTCAGGAGCCATGAAGTGAGGGGTCCCTACCCGACCTACACACACACAGAGAGACAGAGAGGCCCAAGGCTTCAGAAACAAATCAGAGCAAAGAGCTGCACTTCCTGTAAACATGATCTGCTGTGGTGCGAATACACACGTACCTCCAGCCACCAGGCCTGACTCGCCCAGCTGAATCGCCACGCCGAAGCCGCCCAGTTTAACAGGAGCAGAGTTCTCCTTAGAGGCCAGCAGCACACAGTGAGGCTGAACACACACACACACACACACACACACACATATATATATATATATATATGAAACCACTGAATGTGTGTCCTACATAAAGCCACATGTGTTCTAATATCACCCTCACTACATGAGATTGTGTGAGAATGAGATGAGAAGAGGACATGTAATGCTTTTATTTCGTCACATAGCAAACTAATTTCAAGAATTAAGTTTTTTGCTTTTTGGTGGATTCTACAGCCCACTCGTGTGGCGCTGAGACAACCGTCAGCAGATTGAACACACACCAACATCTCTGTGTGCTCAAGAGTCAAACACTGAGACAGAGAGAGAGAGAGAGAGAGACGAGAGAGCGACAGACGCTTCTGAGCGTTTAGAAGGGAAGCAGAAACACATCAGACACTCGGGGAGGAAAGAAAGAGGATCTGACAGAAAGACCAAAGCCTTTGTGTTCCGTCTGAATGGATAAATGTGCAGCTGCAGCGCTTTGTGCAACTGAAGGAATTAACATGCAAAACTGTGAGTAGAATTTATGCATCTGTATGTGTCTGAGATTAAAGTGCGTGTGCGAGTCACTCTACAGACGATGATAGAAAAATCTGAAAACAGAAATGTGTGTGCATGAATAAATAGACTTCATACTAGTGTCAGAAACTATGCAGGTCACTTGGGCAGAGGATCACATTTAAAGAAAAAAGTTTAAATAACTCAAAATATGCTAAATGTATAAAAAATAATTTTTTTAGCATGCATTGATGAAGGTCATCATGAACGTACGCGTGAAATGTCATGAAATAATTTCTGAAAGGTCAGCAGTTTTTAGACATGCAGAATTATGTTTAAATAAAATAAAAAATAAAAAATTTATTTGACTATTTACAGCCCAAAAATCAAATAATTATTAAAATGACATCCACTGCATTACAAATACATTACAAAAACATACAAAACACGTGAAAGAAATTTCTTCCTGTACATTTGTTCATTTAGCAAACAGCTTCATTCAGAGCAACATACGGTTAACAATAATATAAGCAGAAGTGTTTTACGAGAAAAACAAATCAAGTTAGCTCATGAACACCAAAAATAGCACAAAGTGCACAGAAAAAGTGCTGGTTAGTGAATCAAGTGTCCTGGTAATGATGTAATCTCCAGCTGTAAATCAGACGTGATTAGATTCAACTATTTTCACTGTGCAAAATATACTTGCAAAATACAAGTATATATATGCAGTGTGCAGAGTACGCGGTATATGTATGAAATATCATTATGGCTCTAGGTTATGAAGGTTATGAGAAGAGAAAGCAGAGAGCAGCGCAGCTGTAGAATCAACCTCCCACAGACTCAAAACACACATTCACCAAAGATGCAAGAGCTTTCCTTAAATAATTTAAAGCTAAAATGATCCGGAAAGAAGGAATGGAGAATTGAATCGAGGCTCCTGGAGGTGTGTTTGTGGGCCGTGATTTACGCTCCTCACGCCGGCATTCGGAGCCAGAGCGTTCTCTCGTTTCATTTTCATTGGGCTGAGACTGAATTTTGCCCTGTTGTTCAGCACAGTAAATTAAAGCCTGGAATACACTACACGATTTTTGCCCTGATTTTTCCGTCTGGAGAAGTTGACGAAAGGCAGTCTGCAGATTTGAGTTGACAGATTCTAAAGAAAATCACGTAGTGTATGACGGCAAGTTTTCCTCTGTCACTATTTACAAAGTCGGTTAATGTATGATGCCTAGTGTTTTAAAAATCGGTTCAGATTTTCGAAGTCGTGTAGAGTATTCCAGCCTTAAAGGATAAGTTCACTTCCAGAATAAAATTTACTGATAATTTACTCACCCCCGTGTCATCCAAGACGTTCATGTCTTTCTTTCTTCAGTTGCAAAGAAATTAAGTTTTTGAGGAAAACATTCCAGGATTTTTCTCCATATGGTGGACTTCAATGGTGGCCAAAAATGCAGTTTCAATGCAGCTTCAAAGAGCTCTACACGACCCCAGCCGAGGAATAAGAGTCTTATCTAGCGAAACCATCGGTCATTTTCTGAAAAACAATTATATTTATACACTTTTTTTTAACCACAAATGCTCGGCTTGCTCTAGCTCTGCGTCTTTATTAGCTGATGTTGGAAAGGTCACACGCGGCTAGTTCTTCGTCTTTGTACTTCAGTTAAAAACTCCATCTCATTTTCTCCTCCCAACTTTAAAATCATCCAACATCTTTGTTTTATTGTTGTTCATCGTTGTGCTACGTCACGCGTGACTTTTCCAACATCAGCTAATAAAGACACGCATCGCAGAGCTAGACCAAGCCAAGCATTATGTGGTTAAAAAGTGTATAAATATAACTGTTTTTCAGAAAATGACCGATGGTTTCATTAGATAAGACCCTTATTCCTCGGCTGGGGTCATGTAGAGCTCTTTGATTGAAACTGCCTTTTAGACGTTCAACTCACTGGCCACCATTGAAGTCCACTATATGGAGAAAAATCCTGGAATGTTTTCCTCAAAAAACGTAATTTCTTTGCGACTGAAAAAAGAAAGACATTACCATGTAGGAGCAAATGATCAGGAAATTTTCATATTCTGGAAGTGAACTTATCCTTTAAAACGTGTCTGACTCGCCGTTTCTCCCCCCAGAGCTGAAGACTCAAGCGGAAAGCCTCCAGTGAACTTCACCCCGATCGCTAACAAGGAGATAAAAACACAAGCATCCTGCCGAACACGATGAGCACCGTCTGGCCGACTGACCGCTTCACCAACCACACCTTCAGCAACCGCTCGTGTCCTCTGGAGGAGGAGAACCTGCGGCTCCCGCTGGCGGTGCTCTACTCGCTCATCTTTCTGTTCGGTCTGGCAGGAAACCTGCTGGCTCTGTGGGTCTTCCTCTTCCTGCACTCGCGCAGAAACTCCGTGCGCGTCTTCCTCATCAACGTGGCGCTGGCGGACCTGGTGCTGCTGGCGTGTCTTCCCTTCCGTGTGCTGTACCACGCTCAGGGGAACGTGTGGTCTCTGGGGCCGCGCATGTGCAAGGCGGTGGGCAACCTGTTCTACATGAACATGTACGTCAGCATCACCCTGATGGGTCTGATCAGTCTGGACCGCTATCTGAAGATCATCGGCGTGCGGGGCTCTCAGAGGGGCTGCGGGCTGCGCTGGCTCAGGGGCAGCCGCTGGAGTCTGGTGACCTGCGTTCTGCTGTGGAGCGGCTCTCTGGTGATGGTGGTGCCTATGATCGCGCTGGCCGAGGGCAACGAGGAGCCGGGGAAGTGTTTCCAGTACAAGCAGAGAAAGCACGCTAGAGGCAAAGCCTACTTTAATCTGTTCATGGTGGCGGTGTTCTGGCTGGTGTTTGCGGTGCTGCTGGTTTCATACGGACGGATCGCACGCAGACTTCTGCGAGCATCGCGGGACAAACCGGACATGCCCAATGCCTTGCGCTACGCCCGCACCGCTAGGAAATCCTTCGTGGTTCTGCTCCTCTTCACCATCTGCTTCGTGCCGTATCACACCTTCAGGGGCTTCTATGTTGCTTCGCAGCTCCGAGATGTTAGCTGTGAGACACAGCGGCTCATGGATCTCACCAACGAGCTCATGCTGCTGTTCTCGGCTCTCAACAGCTGCTTGGATCCCGTCATGTACTTCATGCTCTCGGGTTCGGTGCGCAAAGCCACCATTCGGGCCTTGTCGCAATTCCTGCATCTGCACCATGAACCCGCAGCGACCAACAGCTCGACCACGGAGTTCCGGAGGACTTCGGTGTCCCACGCTTCCAATGCTCCGGTGCTGGACACATCCAGAGGCAGCCTGGGACTCATTACACCGAGCCTCCGCGTCAAACCCAACGACCGAGAGTCCCGTCCGCAGATCACGGCGCTGTCGAGCTGATCGTGAGATGATAGAGTTTCACCTTTGACCCACATAATGGCCTGTGAAAGTTCACGGGAAGCGATTCACTGGTGTGAAACGATGACTAGCTCGAAAAGTCTGCATGGGAAAGTTCTTGAGACATCGCTTCTGCGAGCCTGTGAGGGTGATATATGGCTGGACACCACAACCGCAGGAGATCACCACACATCTGCTTTGAGATTTTCAATCTATCAGACACAACTCTCACTGAACTCAAGCTCATGTACACTATATGGACAAAAGTATTGGGACCCCCCCTTCTAATGAACAGGTTTGATTACTTTAGTAACTTCCATGAGTACAAATCTTAATGTTTAAGCATATAATGATATTCTAATATCATTATATGCTTCTATAAAATTAGAAGCACACAGTTCCCCTAGAATATCATTATATGCTTAAACTTTAAGATTTGCACTTCAGTATTAAAGTAGTCAAACCTGTTTGTTAGAAGGGGTGTCCCAATACGTTTGTCAATATAGTGTATTTCAGGCAGCTGCAGTGATGCACAAACAGCAGACGACACTGACTTACACATGAAGGACACCTCCTGCTGGAGGAACAGAGTTACTGCACCTCCTATTACACATTTCATCATGTTACAGTGGACTGTTACCTTTATAAAAACAGAGCTGTGCAAAAGGACCTGGTGCCACAAGCTGGTCAAGATGATCTTCACATGACTGACTTTTTTACTGTTTTTAAATTCATGTAGCTCAGACTATAGAGTAACGCCAGTCAAAGATCTGATTCCCAGTGAACTCATAACATGCACACCTTGAATAAAAGTGTATGCCAAATGCATAAATGTCCTTTTTAAGAGTATAATAAACAGGGGAATAAAAAGCCTTATTTACAGTGTTTACAGTGTGTTAAAGGCTCAATATGTAAGTTTTCGCCACTAGAGGTCGCATTTTCAAAACAATAACAAAGGCGAAGCTTGCTATGAAGGAGGATGTTCACAGATGAGGTAATGAATTAATTTGTTTATTACCTGTAAATTAAATTATACAGAGAAAGTGAGCAAAGAACATTATGACTGACTTCAGTCTAACGCGAGTTTAAGCACTCTCAAAAAACTCTTATAATCAGTAAAGCGGTCTATACACTGATGAATGAATCTCTTGCATCATACGTACATCCGCACGTTGTTGTTTATGATGAGAGAATTCACGTGAGAGCTGAATTCAGTCAATGAGCAAAAACAACTCATCTGAATGCCTCTGATTGGTCATTGCATTCGTAAGCTCAGCAGACTCATGTGATGCGAAACACTGTAAAATGCGTAAAAAAAATCATGCCGCAAAATTGAGCAGATCTAAATTTAATGCTGCGGTCAACAGTTTTAATTTTCATTTTATTCACGACAGCTGTAATGGATTTAGTTTAACTGTACATAAGCATTTGTGACCCTGGACCACAAAACCAGTCTTAAGTGTCAATTTTTGGAAATTGAGATTTATGCATCACCTCATCCTTGGGAACTTTTGGTATAACGCAAATATACAACTGCATGAAATATATCACACTGTGCAAGTAGTTCTTGGATATCTTATTATGAAAATCTTACATATTGTGCCTTTGACACTCTTATTGATAACTGATGTGGCCCATGGCTCAAAAAATACAACAAAGAAAAGGACACTTTATTAACAAAACAGAAAATAAAACAGACGTGTGCTAATGTAGTCATCAGTAAGAGCAGTAATGTAGAGTAAAGCGCATGCATGGAGTGTAACGTGCTGTAGCAATGGTGTAGGTGCAGGAAAGACAAGTACAACCACAAAGTACACAAACACAAATGCAGCCCAAAGAGTGGAAAACAGCTCCTTTTAAAGGACACAAGACATGGAAGCTGGTGTGTGCAATGAAACCATTTACAAAAGAATCGTCCATCTACCCAACAAGACCCCGAGTCGTCACATAACCTTTAAGTGTTCTTGAGAGCGACATCGCATGGTGTTCGAACATCATGAGGGCGAGTTAATGATTTGTGCACGAAATACTCTTTAAAGATGTTGAAGATGAACATGTTAGGGTTAGTGAGGAATAATCAATCAGAGATGCAGACGAGTCTTACCTTGACGTCTCGGTGTATGACGTTGTTATCGTGGCAGTAGCGCAGAGCTTCAAGTATCTGCCGCATGTAGTGACTGAGAACACAAATAACACACAGATTGAGCAAAATCTTGACTGACCGTGTGTGAGGTGAACAGTTAGTGATTCTCACCTGGCCACCGCCTCGCTGTAGACAAAGCCAGCATCAGCCCTCTTCACGATCTCGAAGCACAGATCGGCTCCATCCATACTGCACACAGACACACGACTGTTACACACACGCTATATACATACATATATATATATATATATATATATATAAAACGGTGTTGGGGGT